CCACCAGCGATAAATCATTGCTCTGTATCCTTGCCAGCGTTTGGTGGTGTCAGTGTTTTGGAGTTCGGCCATTATAATAAGTCTAGAGTGTTACCTTATTTTAATTTGCAATTTCCTTATGACTTATAATATGGACTATCTTTTCATATGTTTATTTGCTACCTGTATATGTCCTTGTCCCATTTATTTATTTATTTATCTTAATTGTTTAAAAACATTAAGAATTCTTCTATTTTAAGAGCTATTTGTATATTTTGAATAATAATACTTCATAGCAATCTCATTTGCAAATATTTTTCTGGGGCTTATCTTTTCATTTTCTTCACACTTTTTCATAAACAGAAACTTAATTTTAATGAACTCCAGCTTATTATTAATTTTGTTTATAGAGTGTGACTTTGGTGTTGCACCTAAAATGCCAGGACCATGGCTAAAGTCAAATATATGATCTTCTAGGAATTTTATAGTTTTGGATTTTACATTTAGGTCTGGGATAAATTTTTGAATTAAATTTGTAAAGGTATAAGTTTTGTTGTCTAAATTCACTTTATGCATGTGGTTTTCTAGTTATCAAATAACCACTTGTACAAAAGATTATCTCCTCTTCATCATATTGACTTTTCTCCTTTCCTAAAGATCAGTTCACTATGATTGTGCCTTTCTGGGCTCTGTACTCTTATTCCATTGATCTACTTGTCTATTTTTTCACAAATACCATGCTGTTTCATTATTACAGCTTTATAATTAGATTTGGACATTTAATACTGGACAAATTGTCAAACACGATCTGGAGTGGTACACTATGTGACTTACTAATATTCCTCAATAAAAGTGGTGCTTGCTCTTGAGAGTATTCTATTATGAAATATATTCTCCATGAGAATGGCGGGACAATTTCCTGTTCTCCTTGTTGTTTATAATCCAAAAGAGCCCAACATTTCCACATCCAAACCTTTTTCTCATACAATTAACTTGAACTTAATTAAAGACTATTAGGAATCTTTACTTTGATGTCATGGACATCAAAATCAAGATAACTAAATTAGCACTTGCATCTTTCCTACATGCCTCTCAGGCTTCAGTATTTATTTTGTTAAAATGTATGAATATTTTAGTAACAAAACCTATTTATTTGACCATCTTTACATGCTTTTCCCTTTCTCCATTTCTGCTAATTTTCCTATCTAAATAAATAGTTATTTACACAAAATAGTAAAATTCAACACTCTGATGCAGACACATTAAAATATAAACATTATAGAACCTAATTGAGTTATTCAGGGGAGAAAGTATTTTTACCAACTAACCCTAAATATAATATGCCTGTAAAATATACTCATTTTGTATCAGTGAATGCACCAAACTCTTCATACATATCAGGGTTCCCTGTAAGATTGCTAATATTTTAAAAAGTTATAGTATTTAATACTGTGGAGCAAAGGAGGAAAGGGGGAAGAGAAAGAGGGAGAGAGAAAAACAAAAAAGAAAATACTGGGCTCAGCACAGTGTCTGGAGGATCCCTTAAGAGTATAGTCCATTAGAAGAGAAGGGGTATGAAAAGAAGTTATTAAAAAAAAAAAACAGAAAAAAAATTAAATAAACAAAACAAAATTTCTTAGAAGAGTGTCAGGAAAGTAAAAAGGGCAAAAAAATCTTTAAATGAGGACTGATATATAACACTTAAGTACTGATGGGTATTATGTTTTGGATGTGAATGTCCCCTAAATGTCCCACATGCTAAAAGTTTGGTCACTGCCTGCAGCACCAATGTGAGGCAGTGGTACCTTTAGAAGGTGGATTCTAGTGGAAGGAATTAGGTCACTAAGGCATACCCTGGTAAGGGATATTGGAACCCCAACCCCTTCCTTTCTTTTCTCTTTGTTTTTGCTTCTTAGCAGCCATGAAGAGAACAGTTTTCTTGTGCCACATGTTTCTGCTGTGATACAGTGTATCACCACAGACCCAAAGCAAGAGGACCAAGCAGCCATGGACTGTAAATCCTAAATCATGAGCTCCAATTAACCATTTTAATTTGGTTTGTGATCTCGGTTTCTGTCACAGCCATAGAAAGCTGACTAACACAGTAGGAAACAAGATGATCACTGAAAAGTGTCCAGTGGACTTAGCAATAGGTCAGTCATATAGCTACCTTAGAAATTCTAGAAGAGTTATGAGGACCCAGGAAGTTTACAGAAAATGAAAGGTAAGGACATGGGCATGGTATTGGTAAAATCTCTTTGAGAAGTCTGTGTAGGTAGCAAATGCATGGATATCATCTAGAGAGGTATGCTCATTACAGCCATGGATTTTTGGATTTTGCAATTCACATAGATTTCCAATAGGAAGGATTTCAGAGTAAAATACCTGAGAAGTCAGAAATAGAGGAGGTAGAAGTTGGAGTCATGGAAGTTGGGGTGTTTCATATCAACACAAAAGGAGGAAAGCAGAGATTGTTGAGTGCAGACTGAATAAGCTTTGTAGATTTAAAGGCAAAAGGACAAGGGGGAGGGCATCAGATAATTTCTATTTTCTCAATGAAATTAAAAGGAATATTATCAACTATAAGGAAAGAAGGAGGGCAAAGAAGGCAAAGGAAATTTGAAGAATTAGGGAAAAAATGGAACTTACTAAAATGTGTACTTCTTAATGTATGAAAGGAAAGAAGTTGTGACAAAGCTTTCTTACTGTTTTTGTAATTGGGAGTAATGAATTGCATTCTGTTCATAAATTTTAGTTCTTTCTCCATGATCATAAAGTGGTAAGAAGATTCTAAGATGGGGGACTTTTACCAGGAATCACTCTGAGGCTTGAAGGGTAGACAAAACTCACATAACGTATCCTCTACTTTGAGCCATAAAGAATAAGCAGAATGTGGGCATGAGAACAAAAGAAAAAGCAGTGTTTTGGGGCATGTGTAACAAAACTAAAGGCATGAAAGTAGGATATTCTGAGAGGTCCAGCAGTGCCATAGTCATCAGGGGCAAAGGTGCCATACCTGCTTCTCTTTCCTGCCGTCTGAAATTCAGGATGTGCGTATATTTTAACAATTACAGTTTCTAAAGGCAAAGAAAATCATGGAAAAAATATGTATATATACTGCTAAGGGTGGTTCTCACCCCCAAAGGATATTATTTCCATCTAAGAGTCACTTCAAAAGTGGGAAAGACAGAGTCTGAGGGAATTGGTACTTTTTACTTTGGTTTCCTGCTTCAGGTGCCTACAGCAACAATCTCTTAGAGAGCAGAAACCACATAATAATATAATTAATGATTTTTTTTTGTCTCAGCTCTCCTTTATACCAGAATCTCATTTCACAGCAAAGCTGTTATTTTTCTTTTAGTACCACATACATAGCAGAAATACTAAAAATGTGTTGTCTTAAATGCCTGCATAATTTAGATGAAGGCGAAGACAAGAAAATGGCATTGCTGTTGTTTGGTAAGCTCATGCATTAAAAGGCAAATTACTTTTTAAATCTGAAGAATTAATTCTCATTACATTAATTCTTATTTCTTACTCTTCCTGACTCTGCACACCCTTCTCTGCTTTTCCTTAACCACACCCTTCCTATAAATTAGTTATTTTCAAACATGTTTGATAAATTTCTGCTAAATTGGTATAAATATTTGATAATTCTTTTCTATTATAAGTCATACATTTTTCCTTCTTGATATATTCAGCAAAGTACTCAATAAATACATTATAGAAATGATCAACTGAGCAGGAATATATAATAGCAACCAATTAGATAGGCATGGCAAGTTGCTTATATTTTTGAAACTGAGACTGCCACTCTGAGGTAATCCCTGGCAAGTGTTATATTCTAGTCTAACAGATATCTGAATTAAATCATGGGTACAACTGAGCAACTCAGAAGAATTAAGATTGCATCAACCAAGTTATTGTCATTTTAAAAATTTGATTAATCTTCAAATGCAGCTTTTTGATTATAAAATTTTTAAAAAATATTTTTCAGTTATAGATGAACACACAGTATCTTTATTTATTTTTATGTGGTGCTGAAAATCGAACCCAGTGCCTCACACATGCAAGGCAAGTACTTTACCACTGAGCTACAGCCCCAGCCCCATAAAATATTTTTGATGATTATGTCATCATTGTTTTTTGAACTAATGCTTACCAAGACTATGAAAAGTTATACAACTACAAACTAAAAACTATAAATCTATGTAACATTACCATGCTATTACATTGTTTAATATACTTACCACTATCTAAAATTAATTATACATATATTGAATATTTGTATTACTGATACATATATACTTATACATGTTTATGTGTATCTCTCTATATATACATATATATCCTTGTTTTTTTTATCATTTAACATAGACATGAATTTAGATACAGTTTGAAAGACCCAAATTTTATGTGAACAACAAAAATCTTGTACTCTGTTTACATCTGCAGTTATATTATTTAGTGATATGATTTGTGCTAAAGTGAAAAGTCATATACACACTAAATCTCACAGAATTAGAATCTCCAGCTTTATCAACTTTTAAGATGAGTAGCTTAGAGTGTTTCAAAAGGGTCTGCAAGGAAACCAAAGGACCAATTGGGCGGAGGTGATCTGCTAGGCTTTAATAACACCATTGATCATGAGAGAACTTAAACACATGGATTCACTTTCAACCATGGCATCAAAATACTGATCTTATTGTCCTCTTTATCCCAACCAGGAGATCCATAGTATTCAACATAAACTAACCCCACATTTCATTTGACAGAGGAGTAGTTTAAGAGTCTCCTACTTCCAATACAGATTTAACATGTGCAAGAGGACTTAGTGCATCAGTTTATCTTGCTATAACAGAAAGGCAAAAAAACACCCCAAGAAAACATTAAAAAAAAAAAAAAAACATTTTATGTCTTGTGATACACAGAAGAGCCTCTCCTCTGCCTGACCACATTATGGTTTGAAAGGATTTCTTATCAAACTCTCACCACACAAAGAAAAAGAAAGCTTCTCTTACCAGAGTGGGATAAAGCTTCAACCTTGCTGTCTCGCTTTCTGCAGCTCTTGTTTGAAAAGACAGATCCAAAGCGGCTTTGTGCATACAACTGATCTGGCTGATCTCCAGCCCCTGCACAAAAAACAGTATAATTGGCTCTCAAAAAAGTGTTGTAAACATTCATCATGATGGCACTTGCATGTTAAATCTGGTCACTGTTACCCTTATAAACTTTTTCCAAACAGGCAAATTACATTTCTTCTTTCAATTCTGGTTGATTGTTTATCTTTGTTCAAAGCTGATATTAATATTTTTAAAGAAAGCCTGAATTTATGAGTGCCAGATCCCATATATGTCAATACCTCTGAACCTTGCACTTGTAGCTAAGGCTTAAAAACAAAGAAACAACAACAAATAAAATTCCATACGTATGATTTTAAATCAAGAAAAAATGTCCAATAAAAACATTTACTTAGCTCCTGTATGTCTTTGTTTTTCAATTTGACAATATTAAGGCCACCATTTATATGCTAATGAGATATCAGTATTATTAAGTCTCTTTCATTTACTATTTGATAAAAGTCAACTGAACATTCTATATCTCTATTTTGCCCAGAAGCCACATCAATGATGCCTGCAACATACCCCAGAGTCTGAGACCAACTGTGCTGGATTTCTAAGTCTTGTTAAATATTCTACTGTTCCTTTGCCCAAATCTTCAAAGGGGCCCAGACACAATCAATCCTTTAATTTTTATGGGAGCAATGAAGGGTGTCACACGGCTTTTTTTTTTTTTTTCAGATTTTTAAGCATTCAACTTTTATGGGAGCATTAACTGGTTATAACTGTGAATGACATATTCTTGTTTCCAAGAGAATATGAACGCTAGATCAAAAAAGAAAAAAGTACCAGTGAAGAACACAGTATCAATCTGTATCATTCTTTCTAATGATCTAAGCAATATGTTGATCTTACAATGACATGAAGATGTAATCTTTGCTTCCCATATACATGAAAGCTAATTAATGGTGATGAGCACTACCATCATTTGAAAAAAGAATCAACTGCATAGAAGGGATGGGTTTATTGCATTTTATATTTGTCATTTTTTTCATCATGTGTACAAATTAAAGAAGTATGACAAAACAGGTTAGGACTATAAAAATGATTTATAAATATATCCAAGAAGTATAAATTATGAAAATATGTAGTCTCCTATAAGCAGGTAAAAATCTTAGGTACTCTACAAGTGTAAATATCTGAAGCTAATCGTTACTAATTGAAATCTTCAGGTAAAATAAGGACAAACAATAAAGCATGGAAGTTAAACACTCCTTATTTATAAGTATTGGTCTCATTTGATGATTTATCTTTTGCCCTGAGTAGTTCTGGATTATATCCTTACTGGTGGTGAAACCCTTTCTCTTCTTCATTTGCTCTTTCCCTGTAGGTGATCTCCTCCAGTTTCCTGACTTCAAATATTGTCTATGTACTTTTGATTGCTAAATTTACATCTGTTGCCTCACCTCGCCACTGTATTCCAAATATGATTCTCCATATGAGTACCAATATCCATTCCTGACTCTAATAGGATTTTAAAATCCAAGTGTGGCTAAATAGAAAATTCAATCACATCATGTTTTTGAAAGTCACACCTTTCTCTAATCTTCCATATTTTAATGACACTTAATAATTGCTCAAGCAAATAAAGTTTAAAATTTTACATTAAATACTTATAATAGTAAAATGCACGAAGGTTACCATCTTAACTATTTCTATTTGTAGGTTACATAATTTCACATTACTGTGAAATGGATCTTCAGAACTTCTTTTTTTTTTTTCATTTTGCAAGACTAAAACTCTATACCCATTAAATGACTCCTCAATGGGAATGACCCACTAATATATGCAGAAGTAGAGAAAAATCTCTAAATTGTACTGAGTTCAAGAAGCTAAACATAAAGAGCGCATGCTTTATGATTTCATTCATGTGAAACTCTAAAAATGAAAACTTCATAGTGACAGAGAGCAGTTCAGTTATTGCCTGAAGGACCAGAAAGGAGGGATGGAAGTGCTGGTGTGAGGGATTGTGAAGGATCAAAATGAAATTTTTGAGGGTGACAGTTGTATTTTTTTTTTTACATTGCGATGGCTTAATGAGTGTATGTACATGCCAAAACTTGTCAAATTACTCTTTATATATGTATAGTTTGTATCAATTAAATAGTACTATATTTATAATGTTTGTAAATAAGACTCCCCAAAATAAATAAGAGAATTATAATTGATCTAATGTATAAAGAAAAAAATGTACAGGAACCTCACAAAAGAGACTAAGCAAATGGCTAATATTGTATAAAGGAGCTTACAACATTATTGTACTTCAGGGAAGTTTGCACTATATTGAGTAGAATTTGTAAAATGGATTCCTTCAAGATCTGGGGAGAAGGTAGAACATGTGAAACTTGTGTAAACTGATGAGAGGACAACATATTAGTACAAGCATTATGAAAAACTAACAGTATACACTGAGGCTGAAAATATACTTATCCTATGACCCTGTCAACAATTCTACTCCTAGTTTCACATTAAGAATGTACACACATATGACACCAAAAGATACAAACATCAGATTACTAGATTTTTATGGAAGCTTGCTTTGTAGTACCTAAAAATTGGAAACTATCCAAATGTCCATTAGCAGTAAAGTGACTGAATGTGTTTTGAAATATTCACAAAATAGAACACAATATATGAATGAAAAGGAACTAACTTTTGCTTTACACAGCATGGGTAAACCTCACATAATGTTGAGATGGGATTCTCTACACAAAGATTATATCTTTTATGATTCTATTTATATGTACTTCAAGATGTATAAAACTAAAATGTTATGAAAGAAGTCAATCTTCTGATTATCTTCAAATAGAGTATATTTAGCAACTCAGAGGAGAAACAAAATGATTCCCTCAAACGTTGGTAATGTTAAAACGAATTAGGTTGTTCGCTAAGAGTTTCTAGTCTCCTGGATATGTGTTATGCTTCAATAAACTTCTTACTTCTAAGGTATGAAAACATACATATACAAATATAATAAAATTCACTGTGATATGACTTATTTAGAACAGGTTATTTAATGTTAAACATATAACTTAAAATATTTGTGAAAACACTGCTAAGTAAATTTTGTCCTGATAATGAAAAGCAATTACATGGATAAGGTTAAAATGTTTTGTTATGAAAGTAGTCATTTGGATAAATATTCATTCCAGGAAAGCTGTTTGAAATTGCATTGACCAGGTAAATAATGTATTTATTTTCAAAATAGTGTACAATTATAGTAGAGATACTACTTTGTATTCACTCCACATTACCTGTTTATAAAATATATTGAGGTTCTGACTTAAGGAAAATAACTATTTTTGTGCAGATTTACAAAGTCAGTATCTTAAAGAAAAAGTAAAACAAGGTAGTGTCATATTATTATCTTATTGCTTTTTTTATCCACATTCCTAATACCATGGTATGTATTGTTTTATATTATTTCTTATTCATGTAATAAGGTAAGAACTGCTCTTGGGACTTGGAGCTACATAATGGAATTCATGCTTCTGATGTATATGGGTGTGATGATGGTGCTGAAAAGCAAGAGGGTACCAGTTACACAGAAGTAGGGATGAAAATCTGTAAATCTGGATAAATTTTTGTCACTATGCCTGCTTTTCCTCATCTATTAGACCAGAGACCCTAGGCCTAATAGAGAAAAATAGGCCCAAATTTTCATCATATCAGATTAGGCCCTGGCTTCCTTACCACTCCTAAAGCACAAGAAATAAAATCAAGAATTAATAAATGGGATGGACTCAAATTAAAAAGCTTCTTCACAGCAAAAGAAACAATCAATAAGTGAAGAAAGATTCTACATTTTGGGAGCAAATTTTTGCCACACACATCACATAGAGCACTAATCTCCAGGATATCTAAAGAACTCAAAAAAATTAACACAAAAACAACAAACAATCCAATCAATCAATGGGCTAAGGAGCTGAACAGATACTTTTCAGAAACAGATATACATACAATCAACAAATATATGAAAAAACGTTCAACATCTCTAGTAACTACAGAAATGCAAATCAGAACTACTCTTAAGATTTCATCTCACAGGTCAGGTTAGAATGGCAGTTATCAAGAATGCAGACAACAATAATTGTTGGTGAGGATGTGGGGGAAAAGGCACACTCATACATTGCTGGTGGGACTGCGAATTGGTGCATCCACTCTGGAAAGCAGTATGGAGATTCCTCAGAAAACCTGCAGTGGAACTACCATCTGACCCAGCTATCCCACCCCTGCCTTGGTCTATACCCAAATGAATTAAAATGAGCATATTATAGTAACACAGCTACATCAATGTTTATAGCAGCTTAATTCACAATAGCTAAACTGTGGAACCAACCTAGATGCCCTTCAACAGATGAATGGATAAAGAAACATCAATATACACAATGGAATATTACTCAGCATTAAAAGAGAATAAAAGTATGGCATTTGCAGGTAAATAGATGGAGCTGGAGAATATCATGCTAAGTGAAGTAAGCCAATCCCCAAAAAACCAAAGGCCAAATGTTCTCTCTGATAAGTGGATGCTGATCCATAATGGGGGGGGGGACGGGTATTAGGGCAGGAAAGATGGTGAAATGAGATGAATATCATTAACCTAGGTACATGTATGACTACTCATATGGTGTGATGCTACATTGTGTACAAAGAAATGGAAAGTTGTGCTGCAATTGTGTACAATGAATCAAAATGCATTCTGCTGTCATATATACCTAATTAAAATTAATCAATTAAAAAATAATTGTATGTGCTAAGCACTCAATATTTGCCTCTTTCATAATAGTGCACTGATCAATAAAGGGTAAATAAAAGTGAGAGATGACAGTACTAAATCTATAGCCTGGCAGGAGACAACAACATAATAAGCCTGACATGACTAAAATAGACCTTCATGCATTGTGGATTATGCATTTTATACAAATAAAAAAAAAATGTCTAATCTAAATACTTAGCATTGCCACATCATGCTCTAGAATCAAGATGTTCGTTTGGCCTCATGTCACTAGTAT